TTTATATTTCCTGGACATTTTCCAATCACAAGGTCGAGCATTACGCCGCAGTTCGTCAACTGAAACTCGATATCATACGATAAGCAGTTAATTGACCCGAACTTGGCCAAGTTACACCCAACGCAGAAAATTCGACGCTTTCCGCTCGTTAGGTCATTATATTTTAGCTATTCTAAAGTTCCCATCGTCTGACCAGATTTGTTTATTTTCAATGCCAAAGAAAATAACCCCTACCGCAGACCCTCGCTCCCATACGCCAATACATCTTCCTCACTCATCTTAGTTTTCTCTGTGAATTCAATAACGCTTTTCAACAAACAAATTCTCGATTCTCTCCATCTGAAGATAATAAATTAGAGGTGATAGCTATAGCGAATACTACATAAATAAACCTTGACCAAACCTCAACAAACTTTTCAGACACGATTCTAGCCTACAACATAGCTCCACGAATTAAGTAAACAACTTGAAATCACCCATCAAACGGTACTTCAAATGGACAAGATGTAATTTCTAAACGTAAATCCAAAAAGACAGCCCCCATCATTTAATCCACTTTTCCAGACTAAATAGAAAAGAGAAATGACTCTTCGTTTTAGCCCACCACCTCACAATCCTGCCACCTGTGGAAGAAAGAAGAGAGTGCATAAGTTGAGTACATTCTATTCACCCCGACTCCAAACCGGATAGGGAAATAACAGCTACAGAGTGGTGATATAAGAGGGCTTGAATATTTGAAGGTAGGTCCGTACTTAAACAAGGGAGATTGGAGGATTTGGTGGTTCAGGGAATTCACCCACAGCCTCCCAGTAATTGTTCAATCGTCGGTAGATGAAGAGAATTTGAGCAATACGATCCTCGATCTTGGTCAACTTCACATTCAAGTCGAGGAGAGTTGGAGCTCCCGAGAGTTTGTCGGTGGTGGAATCGTGCTCAAATCTTTCAAAACAGAGGGCCGGATTTACTCGAGCGAAGTACTCATTCAAATGAACTTTGGCCCTTTTGACGAAATGAAAAAAGAACAAAGATTAGGACTAACATTAACTGATCAGATGCTGAATACACCTAACACTCCTTACTTATTTCAGCATACTTCATGCTCCACTCGGCAAGTATTATTTTAAATGCTAAGCAGTAGAAGCATGTAGGTGGGTAGATGTCCCAACTTAACCTTAAGACAATGTGTGCCCTTTGGAAATGTGCTTTTAGGGAAAAGTGTGTCTAGTGGAACAGCACTTAACGTTCTAGTTGATGTACACTGGTACAGACTGAGTGAAAGGAGAGCCGTAATAGTTAAGCATGCAACAATGTGAATTTTTTTAACTGAGTGGAAAAGATTGCCCGGAGAAGAAATTTGTTCAATCTGGGATTTGCACTTGATAGCTTAACACTGCTACCAGTTAAAGTAATGGAAAAGGCCATTCGTATTCAACTCCAGCTCCACAGGTTAGCTCGATTAGAATGCAACTCCATCAAACAACACAGTTGACAAGCTCCGCTCAAACTGAAAAGTGTCTATGCTTTTGGTAAATGGGGTTAATGCAAAACTAGATTTCGTTCTTTTATATTCATCAGGTATTCCAGAGAATAATTTTTGAATCGTTTAGTGCAAACAGTTCATCTCCAATTAGTAACACTTTACTCTAGAAGAGCGTGCTACTGTGTGAATAAAATTTGCAGTCATGGCAACTAGGTAATGAGAATGACAATAATCTTAACTACTGACAATGCATTATGAAGGCAATGATGAAGTATGAAGCCAACTAAATGGTGCAAAAACGTCCATATGAACCAATAAAGTGGAAATACGAGGACAGAGAATGCCATCTAATTTCGGAGCAATCGAACAAGAAGCCTTCTATAAGAGCTCAAATATATATGTAGCTAAATAGAGATCAATAATCAACACATCAATACAACTCGGTATAATATAATGAAGATTATCCGACCAAGAATAGAGTAGATAGGGCGGTTCCATCGCATCTAAAGGCTGTTTTGAAAAACTTTCTAGCACACTTATTTTTCCATTCATCAGACACCAAGAACTACAACCATTGAGGCAAATTGATCAAGGTGTTAGGATTTGTGTTGCCAAGATGATAAACGGTATGAATGCATGAGTAATAATTTAAAAAAAACATTAATGCTTGCAAGCCTAATGGTAACCAAAAGCATTACATTTATTTCTTACTAATCCTATCTGTTAAATGCCCAAATTTTACTGAATGTTTGAATAGAGTGAATATAATAAGAACGGAAGCCATCACACATCACATTAGGGAGACCATAACTTGAAGGGATTCAGTGGTTTCAGATAATTAAAATTATTGCAAACGTAATTACAATTTAAAAAAGGTTTCTTGCGATAGTAAACCCGGAAATTCGATAGGACACCCACAGATTGGAATATATAAGAATCATGACTGCCAACGGTACTGCTCAAGTTCCTTGGAACAGCATAGGATTGCTCTCTATCGAGGTAAAAATAGAATTGTGGATGAGTCTCGGACCAAGATTTAATCATTTACCCCACATTTTTATAATACAATTTCCAGCTAAGCTGAATTTGGAAAATTATTAAAAATAACTTAAGGGTCTATTTGTAGATAAATTAAGGATACAAGACTTTCTTGCAAAACTGCAGATTTGCATTCGAGAAATCAGCCTCACGTCTTTCTGTGTAATTTGATTAGCATTTAATACATTCGGAGTATTCCGTTCACTTTGTGCCTAGGGAATTATCTTTGACACGTATAAACCTATGAAAAGTCCACATCCAGCAACACACCCTTAGTAGGCAAGGAAAGTAATTCCAAATATTAAGCAAGTAAGAGTCACAAAAGGGAGACTGGTACTTTATACTACAAAAACATTTTAGAAATGTAGAAAGACTTTCTGAAAAGCACTTTCGAATCTTGAGAAATAAAAGGCAATCAAGACTAACTCCATTATGAACTGCGGACAGAAAAAACAACGTCGAGGGATAGTATGTGAAGACTTAAAAATGGTAAGGAATCGCCACAATGTGATGAAATAAACGAAATAATGAACATTGCAATGAAGGTATAAAACTATTTTACTATTACCAGCGCCCACTGATTGCCTCAGTTGTCAAATCTACACTTCATGTCAAGCATTCTTTATTCCACTATTCTGCGCCGATTCTTCCGCTAGCTGCTGGAGAGATGTCTCTTCTTAAATTATAAGTAAGACTGACACTACAATCAGATTTCAGTCACTTCGACCCTTTTGTGTCAAAAATACTAGTAGCAGGATTTCACTATTACAATCTACCGATTCCTTTCCCATACAGTAATCAACAGATGACATGGTGAGAAATTCAGAATCCAATAACATTACCACCAGAGAGAGGTTTAAATACTAATGGAGAAAATGATTAGAACTTACAAGAACCAGGGGGTAAATTTGCGGAGTTCCAATTCACGAGGCAAATAGCGGCAATTGAAGATGACCCACTTGACCAAATCGTCGAGACGGTAGCGATGAGGTCCGACGGCTTCGTAGACTTTACCTGGAGCATCGGCCGCAGTGAGGCTGTTCACAATACCGCGGGCCAGATCACCAACGTAGACGGGCTGCTTCACTGTCTTCTCCCCACGCTCCCACAAACAAATTTGGATCGTAGAGCCACGGGAGATTCTACGCTCTACAGAGAAGGTATCAAAAGGGATTGACAGGTTCGCTCTTATGGGATATTTAAGTGCGCAAGGTTCATTAGATGTGGCAAAGCATCCTTTTCAATATAATTTTAGGGCTACTTCAACAAGAAAAAAATTAGAAAGACAACTTACGGGAGCATGACAAGCGTCACTAATGGAAAAGAAAGCAACTTGGTGAGTTAACTGCTAAAAAGGTAACGAGTACTGAAAGACACTATCGTTCATAAAATGATCAAGAACATTGACAATCGATATTACATACCAAGGACAAGAAAACCTGCCTTCAAGAGGTATTAATTTTCACACTTGTACGATTAAACAGTTAGCACTGCCTATCTTATTTATCATTTAAAATTCAACTTGCAGATAAAGTCTACAAAATAGTAACTAAAGCAGATTTTGAAAGTACTTTTCAATATCAAAGACTTGCGGTCTGGGAAACGTTTCTTTTTAAAACAAAAAATGCACAAAACAGGAAGAAGCAGCCAAGCGCGAGACAGGAATAGCATGGAAAGATGGTCACTCCCTATGCAATTTCTGCCGCTCATCCTAGTTTCATAACTCGTAAAAGCATGTAGGAATAAAGGAAATTCATCAGTTGAAATGATTTGGAACCACTTCCAAAGCTCTTGGAGATATTGTAAACAGCTTTCGATGTATGCAGAGGAAATATGCTAATAAGAAACCCACATTCCCCCAGCCTATCTGTAAAGCTAGATTAAGAGGGGCAATTGATTGTGCATTCATGAACATCGAATCAGTGCCCCAACCCCCCATATGTGGTAGGAGTGAACATCGAGCTGAGACATTGAAAAAAAAGCTTTTGAGTAACCATGAACTGAAGTATAACCAAAAGATCAATATTCGTCGATTTGCGCATTCAGCAAACGGTAGGACGAGTATAAGGAAAAACTCAAGTGAAAGTAGCGAATGGGTCACCTATGTGGAATTGATTAAATACTTTTAGTACGTAAAATAGGTGGAGGAACCAGTATCAGTGATAGGAGAGAGAGAGAGAGGAAAAGGTAGCAAATCACTTGAGAGATACGAGTGAAATGAAATACAGGCTCATGGGTGTAAGGTAAAATGGCAAAAATCCCTCTACGGCCTAAGATGCATATGGCATTTATTAACGAACGGAATAAATTAATAATTTCGAGTGAACGTATACGTGTTTGGTAGAAATAATAACAGTAGACGGATATAAAAAGACTACGAAACATGGAGAACTAGTGAAAGAAATACCATAATGATGTGATAAGCAAGAAAATTTTAAATGCTTAGAAATAGCCTTCAGCTTTTCAGAAGGAAACTGAAAAGAACCGAGAAAGTAGACATTGAGCTTGCCTCGTTTCTTACAAAAGAGAGAGAGAGTAAACATGGTAATTTTAGCATACGCATTTTCAGCGGCATGCAATTAACGCATCCCAGACCTACACACAGCGATAATAAGCGTTTTTGCAAGCAAAGAGAAAATTGTCCTTCCATAGTGAGAATCCTTCATTTGACGCAAAAATTAAGCTTCATAAAGTACTACTTGTATTAGCAATAAGAGTATATTAACCAATCATACACCTGCCCATAAAAGTTATACAGTCATGGCTTATTAATAACTAGATAAGCTTGTGGCAAAGGGGCTACTTCCAAAAGAGTAAATTTGATTAGGTGGGGGGACACGACTTCAAAACAAACGACTGGACTATTTTTGCCTAGGGTTACTAGTATCCTGTTTACACCGATGAAAGTTGTCCTTTAGTAAGAAAACAACTAGGAATGCGGATTTCAGGTTAATTTTTATGACTTTAATTTCCTCATATTAGGGCTAATCAGGCGCTTACATTATTGAAAGGAGTTCGGTACTGCAGAAAATAAATTTAAAGAAGTCGGTTTTGTTCAGGAAATTGTGGGGCGAAATCAAAACACGATGGGGACGACGGATAGTGAGAGTTAAACCGCTAACTATACACTCTACCTCGCATTACTGGGTAAATAAACATTAGGCAACGCCCAGGCAATCTGCCACGATGCCCGCAGCACAAGCCATGTAGCAGCGTACGCGGGATTATGCAAAGCAAGAGGAGGAACAAAAAGTCCGTCCTCGTTCTAATTCCTGCAGAAAAAGGGCTATTAGCATAATGTCCAAGAAGATGGAATGACCAGAAATCAGGTCTCACCATGCTAGGTTGAAATAACGAATTTGTCCTATTCAACTTAATGATCAGGGTAATGCTCACCTAATAATGGCAGCTTAAAGAAACCAATTTTGATAAAAATGAAATATGGACTCCTGAAGAGCCCGTAAAATCAGCAGTAACTTCAAAATGGTTTGCTGACCATCTGATATTCAATTAGCAAGGGGGGAGAAGAATTTAATCAACGCGAGGGACTGAGTCTACACCGGTGAAATTAACTACATTCTAATCTGTTAAAAAATATACTAATAAAATCTAGTACATTAACTTTAGCGCTCAAGGTGGAGCTAATAAGGAATTCGATACTTATTCAATAGTAAAACTCAAATCTAATTTACAAGAGAAGCCTATTAGTATATTTGAGAAGTATGTAGAAATGAGTACTTCTGTATAATAAAAAAAGGTTTAAAATAACACTGGGTTGAACCCAGAATACTAAAGTAAACAAAATGAAACCGAAAAATCGATAATTTGAATAAATAATGCAAAACTTAATTTTAAAATAAAACTTGCTAGTGGAAACAGTAAAACATGAACTCCAATCAAAACTCATAAAATCCCTTCGCTTTAGTAACTACATTGTTTGTAAAGAAGCATAAAATTAATTTTTTATGGAAAATAAGCTAGTAAGTAAAAACAGCTTACCTCTGGAAGCGTAGTAGCAAAGAAAACGATCTGAGTTGCCCCAAATGTCAGCAGGACGGAATATTATGGCATCAGGACGTTCCCGGAGCACTTCTTTCTCACCAAGAGCCTTGGTACGGCGAAACTCAGAGGGTTTCCGCACGAACCTTTCAGGATTAGGATTCTGAGAAAGCGCTGAGATATGAACAAGGCGTTCAACACCCATCTCCTTAGAAAGTCGGGCAATGCGTGCTGCACCATCTATATTTACTTGTTCCTGGGTGAAATTATGCGTGGCGTTCATTTTACCAATGCAATTAATAGTAACATTGCTAAAGCGCATGGCCTTCTTGATTGCCTCCTCATCTTCCAAATGGAATGGCTACAAATAAAACAAAGCTACTTACAACGTATAAGTAGAAAGTTAAATTCCTGAATAAAAAAACAAACGAACTGGCAAATAGTAGGCAACAGATTTAGCTGATACAATTTCTTATTTCACGTTGAAGCAACAGAAATGTTACCAAACTTGAGCTCTGGCTTACATGCAGTAACATAATATCTAGTTACTTCCAATAGGAGGCTATAAAATGATGTTCGTTTAATCAAGATGACGATCAGCTCAATGGGTGCGAAAGAGCAGCCACCGGTTTCGCAAACTCGGATTCTGTCAACGAGATTTTTTAAATATGGTGTGAAACCAGTTGAGTTATGATTCCAAACGGATACTTCTAGGCTACAGGATGAAGGCTACTTCTTTAGTCTCAGTTTTAAAAAGACTATCGGGTGCAAATAAGTCTTTCTTCTCCGTTAAAACATGGGGTTACTCAAAACAAAGATATACTACCAAATTTGAAGAATAACAACGTAAGTACAAAAGAAGTGGCTTACACAAAATAGGATTTGACCCAAGTCACCCATGACTTTTAGATCACGGATGAAGTAGGGATCACTGCGATAAGGCACAATGACCTGTGCCCCAATTCGACCTAAGTGTTGGACAATATGTTTGCCCAAATAGCTCGAGGCACCGAAAACAGTAACAACCAAACCATTGAATGAGGAACGACCACCTGTTCCGCGTTTTAGGTTGGTTAGTGATATTGGCTCAGAGGCATAATTACGGTTCTGTTGAAGAAAGACGCTGCCCGCAACAGGAGAAGTGACTACAGCTGGAAAATAAAGTCTGCGAATTTAGTATTTCTCAAAAGAAACTTGTACACTGTTAGTACGCATTGTTAACGAAGATTTTTTTCGAATATGTAATGAAAAACTAATCTGGTAAAGTCCTATGGAATTTATAATAACAGGATATTTATTACTAATTATTAAATAAATCGTTCAAGGGACTACGTACCACGCCCAAGAATTGCATTCGAAAATGCAAAAGCGATGCGATTGACCGCCATTACAAGCAGATAATGGCCAGTACCAATAGAGAATATCAGAATAGATGATTGGTTGTTATGAAATAGCCTATTGAACCGAAATTTAATATCTTGTCTCTGCGGTCCTAATGGACTACAAATTTTATGAAATTAATTTTTTCTTTGCTAAACCATTTTGTATTTTCTATTAACCAAGTTCATTCTCGTGTTTTAATTTATCTAATCTAGAGTATTATGGAATTTTCATTATAAAATCATTACATATACGTTTAAAAAATTAAATAAAAGCTACCATCTTCCGATATCTGACTTTGGAAATACACAGAGAAGATATGTATGACATAATTCAGTTATTTTATCGCTTAGCTTCTCTGTTATGTATGGTTTCAACATACTTAGATTAATATCATTTTAGCAAACTTTGTCATATGATTTAATTCAGCTTCCAAAATTTCTTAAATTAATATTCAATTTGCCATTTCTATATGTCTACGTATTGAAATTGCCAAGTGCGTATAATTTTGAATTTGAGTGCATGTGAAAATGAGCATAGAATTTGCTCGTACTATGTCTATTTAATTGTTTTAGTAATGACCATTATTTTCGCTATACTTTTACCAATGAAAGCATCGTGTTTCTAAAGCTAGGTCCTTTATTAACCAATGCGTGCTAGTTTTATTTGTCTAACACTTTTTTTCAGAGACTGACTTTTCTAAATATGTGCTGTTGTACCATTAATTCTTTGTTTATGAGAAATATTATTTATCGAAAACCAAGTATCAAATTCGTTGATAATAGAGCGCTTCAGTTTCTATTGTGAATAAACTGCTTATTGGTATTTGAAATATTTAAATTTATACCACTTAGAGAGAAAATTGTCTCTATACCTGTTTGAAAACTTAGAACTGCATAACTGCTTAACCTGATTTGCGTTATTTGTAACTTTGATGACTACCTTCTGTGCTACTTTATGGTATTAGCATATTCATATAATAGTTAATTTTGGCCATATATATATATATATATATATATATATATATATATATATTGTATACGTTGATGTCCCTAAATTTTTAATAATTAATGATTTGAAACCTTTCACCTCTATTGTTCATTCCTTATGAATCTCTCCCTTTCTCTTTTTGTCAAAGCTCTTAAATCGATGACTTCTCTTTCGCTCCCCTGGTTGTATGATGAAGATTGTAAATACTTTAAATGTATGACTCGAAGAAGTGAATGGAAAAGAAGAAATGAACTGACAGATAGAAACCTTTTATTGCCAATGGAACTCAGTAGTCTTAGATCGAACAGTACAACAAATCTTTAATTCATCGGTTTTTCATTCATAGCCCATCTGCTGACTTGGTTCACCATATTGAATAGATGGCTTTAACTAGCCAAGATGGAAGAAATTGGGCGAAATTTGCTGCTCTTTGTGTAATACCCTCAAGTCTCTTCACACTCTCTTCAAGGCTCCTCTTCTCCTCGCTCCATTATAGCTCTGTAGTAAATCAAGTAGTTATTAAGAAGTTATATTGCGACTTCATTTTTAGACTTAGTCGTAACAACCCGATAACGAATGAAGACCAAGTGTAGGTCATCGCAATAATCAACTCAGTCTTCAAAATCCCTCAGAGCAGTTGCTCTCAAGGGCCCTCATATCCAATGGAAAGACAAAAATGGCTTCAATCAAAGGAACAGTTATCCCACCAAGCTACAATGCAATATATTTTAAGTGGGAGCCATTTCACCGATTATGAAAGAATCAGTAGCAGTAAACAAAAGGACAGTTTTCAGAGTTTGGAATCTCTCAATTACTCTTCAGTTCTCACGCGGTGTTCACCACTCAAATCGGTAAAGGGATTGATGTGCACATCTATCTTGTCCGATCTATATAGTTTTAGTTGTGTCCAACATTGGTATTTATCAATATAGATGGCAACTAGGCCTGTAAATTACAAATACCAGAAAAAGTCTTTCAGGGTGGTCTATAAGTGGACAAACTCCCTCTAGAAACACCTGATAGTGAGATAAACACGGATGAAGAGGGAGGAATGCTTATAGAAAAAATACAAGCAATCAATGAAAGGCAGATTCTACTTAGAATATTCCACAAGTACTATTCGGAACAAAGTATGAAAATCAATATTCTAAACGAACTTGATTGGTCCGTTCGGAGTCCTTTGGCAGTTAATATGAAAAATATGAATTAATATCATTTACTTCGTAGTAGCTGGGCAAATATTTTAGTAAAGTGTTTATTAGATTTCTATCACGCAAATGCCATTGATTCTTGAGATGATCACGTGTGAACAGTGAATATCACAGTGTCACATACTTTGGCACCCAAGGTGGGGCTAATAGGGTCGTCATGCTTCATAGCTACAAGACCTCAGAATAAATAGATAGGCGTTGATTGTTGATATTGCAGTTAGAAATGGAGTTCACTTAAGTCAAAGCGAATAATTATTTTTAAATCCACAACCTAATCAACACGACAATGCCCTGAAATCTGGCTACTAATGATTGTCATTAATATGTGGTAGTAATTGACTAAGCATATTCTGTCATCTGCCGCGTCATATGAGAAATTTGAAGAGCTACAGGTTAATACAGAATTCAAATCATGACCAGTTGCCCTTTCATCATGATATTTATATATACCAAATGATAGGCTTTACGATAGTTACTTTTAGCCCTTTAGTTGACTTGGGGCTTCATATAGGAGAGAGAGAGCGGAACATCAAGGTTACAATAAGTCGAGGGGGAGGGGAACAGAGAAGTGATTCGCAGTTTTTAAAGAGCCGACATCCATCATGATATATAGTCAATAATTCTTATAGTATTTTTTCGTTTTGGAAATTTTACCTCCAATTATTACGCCATTTGCTTTCTTTGTTAGCGAAATCATTAGCCATAATTCATTAATCTACTATTACGCATTCTTTTCCTTTTGATGCTTGGCTAGTTTTATAACTGATTTTTATTGAAAACCATATAAGTCTAACTTTGAGGTAAGATAAATTAAATAAAAAATCTTGTTTCCTTACTTAATAAGTAACAACTGGGGCTTGCGACTGTTTAACTGAGTAGGTACCGACATTGTTGCGTAGGGCACAATTCTTTAACAATGAAGGTCAAATAAAATGAATGTGTTTAAGTGACCGTGGTGTGTCGGAGGGGACGACGAATTATTAGTGGAAAAGAAAAAGTGAAAAAAACAGACAACGGAAATGTAGAAGTGAGCAATGAAGTAAACTGGAGGATTCTAGAAATGAAAAATGGAAATGAAAGGGCGATAAAAAATCCGCAAATTCAAGCTCAATTGATTTTGATTAGGCTACTAAGAGATTATAAAACACGGGTAATGAAGTTCTATTTGTTTTCTTTGAGATTATGATTTATTTACGTATATAACAAAAGTGAAAAAATGAGTTATCTACTCCTTCTGAGCTGAAAACCTGCGATAATTATATGGTAGTTTTAAAATAAGTGCCAATATTGCAGCTAAATTATTGATTTTAACATCTATACAATACTGCAATACATCAAATTTAAGTAGGGTCAAAAGGTTAACCACTAGTAAATCCATAAGACTAAAGTTACCAAATGTAGCGCATGGAAAACAAGAAGACCTAATTGCACCATTTTAACTAAGATATAGCACAAAATGAGAAAAGGCAAAAACATTGCTGGAAGTAGGTAAGTTAATGGAGCAACGTGGAAGAGTTATAAGTTTTTGGTAGTTATGCCCAATAAGGAGGTGGAGATTAGAGCTAAGGTTTAAGTGATTAGAGATAAATATATATTCAAAAAAAATTTGGTGTTGTTAGCTCGTGCTCCACGATCTCTCGACATTAAATCAGGAATACTTCGAGATCTAGATCCTATTTCAAAATAACAATGAAAAGTGTCCGATAACCACAATATGATTGCATGAGATAAGAAATGGACACATTTGTGATGGGGTTATTAATATGTTCGTCTGTTGAAAGGAAAGTCATGGATTCCATGGCGATTTGTGTAATTCCATAAAGAGAAATATTTGACTCACCGATTAAGTGGGGTTAATGATGTGGATGGCGGAGATATTACCGATACTTAACTAAAAGTATGCTATTGAAGAGCCTTACTAAGTAGCCCCATGGATAACCATTATTATATATGAACTATTTTCTTCAATAATTTAAAATCCTCTGCACGTAGTAGTGCATCGTTGTAAAATGAGTTCTTCGGCAAACCTATTTTGAAAAAGATGTGTAGTATAGTGTCGATGAATAATTTTATTCTGATGAAAATATTGTAGCATATTTCATTATGCTAATGCAACACATTAATAAAGTCTTTTGTTAATTATTAGACCATTTATTTTTAAAAGTTCTTATAGACAGCATAAAATTTTTTCATTTTTCGAACATTTAAATATGGCAAGATTTACATTACATTTATACAAATTGATAATATGAAACTCTAATAAAAATTAATATTTCCAAGAATGAAAATTGAATGAAATCTTCAAATTCATTTATGGGCAAATTTGCCAATATGCCGACATTTTGCTTTGCCTTGAGTTTTAAGGTCATGTTCCATCCAATCTCACAACAAATTTCGTGTGCGATGACGTTATCCTTTGCCCGTTCAGTTAAAAATTAATGGTGAGTTTTTTTGTTAATGTTTAATGTCATCAACTAAATATTTCATCCCATGGGCTTAGTCATGCTGTGCAGTGTTACATGTTATTTTAGTGCATACGACGTAGTCAAATTCTTGTTTAAGCAATTAAGTACAGAAGAATATTTATGTCAACTAATAGTCATTTATATTAGTTTAAAAAATCGTTAATATACCATTAATGTCTTTTGTCAATAATAGTGACTAACACTTGATTTTATTATCGATGTTAAAGCGAAGCAATAATTCATGCACTTAAAACACTTCAAACATAGATTTCTGGTTTACAGTTTTTTATTTTCTAAGCGAATTTCTTTCTAATTTTAAGTTTATTACTCAGACGTCAAAAAACCTAAGCACAAATTGTCATATCAAGACATTTATTTAAGGTTCTTGTACAGATGTAGATAAAAATATTCACTTTTCATTCTCGCTAATTTAAATTTTGCTTAATTTTTAGGGTGCAACTCCGTCCCACTTAGAAAAGAAAATAGGGAAAGATCAGTTCCCTTCTGACGAGCACTATTATGGTCTTGTAAATGTAAGCTTCTATTTCATATTTAATTCCATATATTAGTTTGGCAACACCTGCTATTGCAACTCTGTTCTTCAAGCTCTTTTCTTCTGCAAGCCATTCCGAAATAGAGTTTTACTCTACCGCCAGCAGAGTAAGGGTCAAAAGAAGGAGACCCTTTTGAGCTGTTTGGCCGATCTTTTCTATACAGTTACAACCAAAAAGAAGAAAGTCGGCCAAATACCCCCTAAAAAATTTGTACAGCGGCTCAAACGCGAGAATGGTAGCACTATTATGCATGATTTTATTTCATTCGGTTTTAGTGCTCTTCGATAATTATCTACCCCAAGATGCCCACGAATTTCTGAACTACCTTCTCAACCAAATTGCAGATATTTTACAAGCAGAGAATGCGAGTGAGGAGGCAAACAAGAGAAGTAACGCGGAAGGAGATGTAGAAATAAATAGCAGCAACTCCAGAACGTGGATTCACGAAATATTTCAGGGTACACTTACCAACGAGACGAGATGTCTTAATTGTGAGACGGTCCGAACTAAAGATGAAGATTTTCTTGACCTATCAGTCGATATTAAGCAGTATACTTCCATCACAAACTGTCTTCAGTGCTTTTCCAACACTGAGACGATTCAATCAGAGAATAAGTACTACTGTGAAGTCTGTAGGTGCAAGCAAGAGGCTCAAAAGCGGTAAATTTTATTTATTTAAAGTCTATTTAAAGATGCCTACATTTGACACTGTTTTCGAATCGCTCTAAGGTGAAGGTAGTTTGTTCCATGCACGCCACCATGGGATTACCTTCACATTTTGGCGCATGATGGTGTAGATGCCCGATGAACTATTTTTATTTATGGATTTTCTTTTATGTCTACACACATGCATATTAGTCGATTGTTCCCACTCTTACCTGATGGTTGTGATATCAAAATTAACCGCTTGAGATTTGTAACCTTCATGTGTTTGTCTAGGCCCAAGCTCTCCCCTTATTTGATTGGTGTTATTTTTGAAAGTCCTGTCTCCTAATACTTTTTGTTGGATCACTCAACTTTAAGTTTGGAGTTTTTTAATTTTGTACTTCCTCAAACTGTTTGTTGTTATTCATAGTCTATTGATTTACATAATGTTATAAAATTATCAGAGTAGCAATCGCCTTTGTATATCATTTGGAATGACTATTGCACACAGTGTGCTCACTGCTAAACGTATTCCCTTGACTTCTAGGGTTCTTATTTCAATAACCTAGTACTTCATGGTATCTCAATGCTAATAATGTAGTTCCCGCAGCTGGTCTTCGCAATATTATTCATCTACGGGAATACGGTGATAGTTCGTTTGGGTGTGATGAATGATCAAAGCAGTCGCTTTAGTGAATAAGTATGTTAGAGCATCATTATTTTTGTCTGGTTTCTAAGTCGTAGTCAACAATTTCATAAGCATGTCAGTGGTAAGATAGAAATGATTGAAGCACTCAGTAGAAACAGAAGATTTCGATATCGAATGGTGTTTGAGCAGTATTTGACATCTGCAGTTATTTCATTACTAGATGTGGCCTATTTACAGTTGAGGAATGTGTAACAGTAGCTGTAACAAAAGATAAGACGTGAAGCATTCACGCTTGAATTTGGCAGTTAGCTTTTTTGAAGACATTATCATGCGGATTTGTGTGTGGTACCTATTGCATGAAGTGTATACGGTCCTAGATTTTGATTGACACCAAGTCATTCTATTTGTGAAAATAGCTTGAATTCAACGTATAACTCTTCAGGCTTGGTTTTCAAATCTTCAGGTTCGTTGTTAACGTTTGGCCTTTTAGTCATCTAAAATGGCGTCGTTTTCTTGCTATTTACGGTGGCTATGAAATTGCCCCTGCAAGAGATGAGTTTTTAGCCGCCCTTTTTTTATTCCTTCTAGGATGCGAGTGAAACGACTCCCCGAATTGCTGGCCCTGCATTTAAAGCGATTCAAGTATTCGGAGAATGCCAACCGCTTTATCAAACTTTCCTACTATGTTCCATTTCCCCAAGAGCTCCGATTATTTAACACGGTGAGTGGAGATTCTCTTCCCTTACTCCCTATTTAACTGTTTGCTTCGTCACGTGATTGCTTAACGGAAGTTAACTCTTCGATCATTTCATAGAGCAAGCTACGCCATTTCTAATTGGGATATGGGACCTATTTCAAGCTCACGATCCCCTTTTTGTTTGTTTCCTCAACTTTCTCGCCTAAAAGTTTGTTTATCTTACAGTCTGTTCTGATTTCCCGTTTCTTAAAGGTACATAATAGTAAAGTACATTTGTAATAACCTCTCTCCTTCATTGCAAACTTGCTGTATAATCTTGAAAAGGTATCTAGTATGTGACAGAATTCCTGGAAATAGGTGGCCCGTATATTGATGAGTTCTTGTGTTATTACGTAGAAGGAACGCACCATCGAATTTACCTTGTAGTTCCGTGCACCTATAACCCACAATGATGCAATTTTCTGTTTGATTACTTTTTGACTTTACTTTGCTCTCACAAAATATTTCTCTAATCAGGCAGTGCGATATTACTTACTATTAACTTACTACTCCATTTTGTAAATTACATCTCAATTGAGCGCAGAGATAAACATTCTGTAAGCAAATTTTCTCAAACGTGTTTTTATTTTTCAACACTCTCCCTTATCAGCGATGATACAGGTGAGCTTATCACTTTCTATACCCATTTAAGTTAAGCTTTCATTATAACGTTTACTGTAAGTGAGCAAATGGAGATTTTACAGATTTTACATCTATTGTGTATTGTGAATCTATTATTCTTTAATACCCTCATGTTATTCCGTTCACTTGTGGCTAAGGTTTGAAGACGATGGGTAGAAATCCTACGTATTGTTGAGTGAATTCGGAATTGATAACATAATGCATCGATTGATGGAATTGCTGCATTTCTCGACTAAAAGCAATTAATTATTACCAGTGGTAGGCCAAGTGAAATAAAATTGTATTCGTAGAAAAGCGGTTGACCTTGAAAAATGGCTGTAGGATTTGGGGGTGGGTGGAGGGAGGGGGCGGTTAGGCAGAAAATAAATTAACCTTGTGCAAAAGTCAGGGCACCCGGATGGTCGTCAAAAGTGCAGTTTTATGAGATGATCTGCTTATTTACTTTTTTTTAGTTACAATTCGTTATAACTGTACCTGAAAGATAATTAATATCTGCGTTGCTCTCAGTGCTAGTTGTGTTAAGAGTGTCTCTTCCATAACAGCTAATTTGTTTTAACTAGGAAGAGTTCAGCAGTTTCAAAATTCAGCTGGATGGTCATAACGATGCGTTGAACCATTCAACTCCAGTCAAAAAGTATCAAAGAATCATTATTTCCGTCTCTCCAAGCTTGCCTTGTCGAATCTTCTCAGGCAAAAATGCTTTTTGTCTAAACCTCGAGTCACTTTGACTCGTCACTCCCTCATTTGCTTTTGGGACTTATGTTGTCTGCTCTTTCATTTCTGATGGTCGATCTTGCTCAGCATAATTCCGACTCGTCGTCTATCACCCAAATTGGTATATATTAACATCATACCAATGCTTTTGTTGACATTATTTATTCATTGGTTGATGGTGAATGGCATGGCAAGTAGATGACTTTATTGATAAGATTGATTATTAGGTATCAATATCTTTTATAAAATCCACTTTTCTGATATATTGAATGATTATCTTGTTAATGCTTAATGTTTGCTATCCTCTCTTTGTCCGAAATGGCAGTTTCCTTATAAAGTGAACAGTAAAGTTAAGCTTTTTTTTCATATCTCGATATCTTAGTATTAAGGTAGACTTCGATTCCCACCCAAAAGTGATACCTGTTGGAATAAACAGTGCCGTGGCTTAAATCAAAGTCACGCCAAATTTAGTTGTTAAAATGTATTTACCTATTCATTATATCCACTGTTTTGTTCAACCAAGGTACTTTATTTAAAAATATACTCTTTCATTATCCCGGATTGAAAACAAAAGTTGATCATTTGCTTATTAGGGGTAATCGTGCACATTTGTTATGTTCTGGAAATATTGAAATTGCATGTCACTTAGTTAAAACACTTCATGAATCGATGTTTCCCAAAGTGGCTGCATTGCGACCTCAATTTTTTGTTTTAAATTTCCAATTCACGAGTTCGCAAGACCACGGTTTATTGACACTGATTTCAGAGCCCCCCCCCTCCTGCCTAAAAATGCCTGAAATTTCCTTGATAAATACTCTCCTTGTGTGCAAGTGCTCTTCCGGCCGAATTACACAGCTTCATTATGCTCCAACTGATAGTTTCCGGTTCATCTTTGTTTTGAATGAATCACCTTCTGCTTAAAGACACACACGCACACACACAACAAGCTACTAAAATGCTAGTTTACATAAGTTTGTGATCTTCTGTTCGAAGCAGCAGTTTAACCGTGTTGAAGTGACTCCTTTAATTACTTCCCTCAAGACCATCTCGAACAGTCTATTCATTTGGTTATATTTGCTTTTGTAAACGCAGTCCTTCTCTCTCTCTCCAATATTTAACCTTTATTTAAATGGGGTTGTTGTTTTACGTGCGCTGATCTGTTTGACAACAATCCAACTCTATTTTCCTCTTCCATCTGAAATTCGGTCTTGATTAATGCGTAGTCATTTTCAGCCAGACTGATATTTCATGACTTAACTCTCACGTAACAGAAGAAATACAGAAAAGGAGCTTCAGCTTTCACTCCTCTTTTGTTGGGTCTGGTTGTGTCAGCTGTTTCCTCTCCCACACAAAGAACAATGACAGTAGTGATGAAGAAGCAATTGTACTAACTTTAATTACGGGATAATGCATGAATGGTTGGAGTGCAGTGGGTACTGAAACAATGCTTGAGTGCTGATTTATAATAAAGTAACACTGCCAAAAATCCAGTTGTCTTTCAGTTTTTCCCTTTCATTTTGAACAATCCAAGTGTTGCAATTTCGTGATTGGTTCAAATTATTTCTTTCTTTCTTTGTATCCAGTCTGACGATGCAAGCAATCCCGATCAATTGTACGAGTTGATGGCAGTTGTAGTACACTCCGGTTCTGGTCTGAATCGGGGTCACTACATCAGTCTTGTCAAATCGGACGGCATTTGGCTCCTCTTTGACGACGAATACGTCGATGTAAGTCCCTTGACAGCATTTTTGTTTTCTATACGTGACCTTACATTGGATGTGGATGTCCTTTTATCCCTGGTTTGCGCGAATGCACTTTAAGATGTCTTTGGTTATTATTTCACTTGCTTTCCAAGCCTTTTATGAAAATTGATGTTAGGAAAGGAAGAGACGCCGAGTCCTTTGCGAATAAATTACACAGAACTTAATTACGGCTTTCGTTAGTGTCTTGATATAGTCAGAAGATGGCTCATTGATTTTATAAGGAATA